CGTTTTGGCGGGAGTCACGGCTTCATAACGTTGTGTATTCCTTAAGCTAGATTCATATAGGGTTGGTACAGGGTTAATTATAATTAGTATCAACTAATCATTAAGTCACAATTACGTATTAGCTTTAATTAAAATTGGAGTCACACTTTCATAGAGATTAATTGTATTTAATTTCATTCATCAACCATATGCCATTAAACGAAATCTAAAGTAACAAATTTAACATCACAATGTTTCTAATAAAATATATATTATAGGCCTATAATACATTTCTAAATGTATACCGGTAATAGGGCTGTAACGAGTATAGGCCTGAAATCAAATAATCAATCGATAATTAGTCAGTCATTCAATCAACCGAGTGTACGGCATATCGATCGGCAGCTCCTTTCATCGGTCGATCGATCTATCAATCCACCTACCCATCCATCCATCCGTCCATTCATTTATCCATCCATTCATCCATCCACCATAGTCATCTATCAATCAATCATCAAACAAATCAGTCAACCAATCAATCGATCAATCAATCAATCAATCAACAATTCAATTAATCAACTATCGGTTGGTTGATCAATCAATCAATTAATAATTAAATTATCAATCAATTAATTTAATTGATTGATAATTTTATTATTAATCAATTAATTAAATCAAAACCAATCAGTCAGTCAATAATTCGACCAATTAAATAAAAGACAATTAAACAACAATTCAATCAGTCGTCAATTAATCAATTGTTCAATCAATTAATCAATCAATCGATAATTCGTTAAATTTCGTAAGATAGAATTCCATTAACAATTTACTTTCTTTTAAATTATTATTATTAATATTAATATTATTAATAATAATAATAATTTTCAGTTAATTTTCAGTTTGTTTGTTTTTGTTTTTGTTTTTTTTTTTTTTGGAAAACAAGTTTCAAACTACTGATTGGGAAATCTCATTTACACTTACATGAGATTAATAATGTCAACAATAAAGGATAGGCCTAATCTAATTACGGTAAATTACTTTTAATAAAAACTTAACCTTCATTTTGATGATCCATATTCTATACCGCTGGAGGATGGTGTTTGATGTTCTTTTTAATTTACAATAACTATTTACACTATTTCATTTGTATTAATCATTAAGATACTACAGATAAGGCGTATGATTTACGTAACCATGCTTGAAATTAAGTGAAGTCACACGTTAAATTAAAACTCACAGCTACGATTTAAATGATGGACTAAGGATTAAGGTCTGAGCCTCAAACGATACACAAAGAGACATGAAAACCTGAATAACGCCGGAGATTGTAGAACAATAAGCGCCCTACACCGGCAGAAGTTGTTAAGGTTAGCGGGGTAGGACCTACTATGCGAGCCTAAGATTCTAACAGATGGCCACGGATAATGGTGTTGTTTAGCGTTAATAGAATTATGTTAAAACTGTTATAGTTCTCAATAACAATACAGCAAACAAGTATAAATCGACTGTCGAGACGTAACTATAAAATTATAGACCCAGAATTAAGGTCGGACATCGTCGGAAATAAAATCGGAGAAGAGAATATGTTGTTGTTGATTGATGATTATTTGAAAAACAATATGCATTTTGAACTAAAGGAAATGCTAAAAACTTAAAGTAAATTTTAGTTTTTGGGTAAATACGGTAATTGCTTTAATATCAAGATTTTTTTTTCTATTATGTAATTTGTACTACATTCAGGCCTAATACTTTTATTTAAATCCCGCTTTTATTAATATTAATTTTAATCTATTAAAACAAATAAATGTTTTTCTTCATTAATCGGTTATTTTTCATTCTAAGTTATTTTAATGGAATTGCAATAGGCTGTTAAAATTGGACAGTGATACATCCATAATTTTAAAATCATTTTTATGATTAAAAATCACTGTAATTTATACCACTGAAGCACAGTGATTTCCATGTCTTCGCCACTGACATAAAGCAATATTCATTCATCTGAAGCGTTCAGCATTATACATTACTATAATAAAAAAAAACCCATTGAATCGTTTCTCTTGGAGTTAATTTTCTTGCGAATGACAACGTCCTTGTCTGTAATGAATATCATTTAGCATAGTCTATTACTTTTAGCATCAATATCATCATCGCTGATTGTACCCTATGCAAATTAATATTATAAGAGTAATGAACCGCTGAGATATGGGCCCATAGGCCTCAACATAGTTAGATGAATTCGCCCCCAGGAGAAACTTTAATTAACACTTATTAAAGAAATAGTCATTCCGCGAGATAATCTACAAATATATATCAAAGCCTGGCGGCAGTGCTACAGCAAACGCTTGTAGGTGCTTCATCCTTCTTAAAAGTAAACTTAAAATATATTCAGGGCTACTATTTTGTTGACATTAAATTACTTATTCCATAAAAAAAATTATAGCGATGTTTGTTTGCATAGGAAAAAGCTCGTTTATGAGCATAAAGAGTTTGAGGTCTTCCGACCACACAAATGTTTTCACTAGAATCGATTTATAGAATTTTTTTTCTTAATTGAAATTTTATTTTTACATATTTAAAAGGTTAAACTACATTCAGAAAAATGTACAGTAAGGAAAAGCTTTGTTGAACGTTGAAATAGAGCAACAAACGCTTGTAGGTGCTTCATCCTTCTTAAAAGTAAACTTAAAATATATTCAGGGCTACTATTTTGTTGACATTAAATTACTTATTCCATAAAAAAAATATAGCGATGTTTGTTTGCATAGTAAAAAGCTCGTTTATGAGCATAAAGAGTTTGAGGGCTTTCGACCACTCAAATGTTTTCACTAGAATCGATTTATAGAATGTGTTTTCTTAATTGAAATTTTATTTTTACATATTTAAAAGGTTAAACTACATTCAGAAAAATGTACAGTAAGGAAAAGCTTTGTTGAACGTTGAAATAGAGCTAAATATGGAGGATTTAGGCAATATAGTCTCTGGATCTTAAAAACTACAACCATGCTTATCACGTCACAACCCCTAAAACCTAAATTTGTTGTAATAATTTTAATACAGATATTAAGACTGCACCTTTTACCAAGGGATACAAGGCGCAAATAATAAATATATTGTTGAATCTCTATATTTTATGCAAAATAAATCAACAACATGAAAACAAAGACTTCTTATAAAACCGACCAACGAAAATTAGCAATTGGACCAAACCTATTATTCCTACGCTCGTATTCGAGTTCTATATTATAATTGATAGTTCAAGCGACTCTATTCAAGTACTTGGGATAACGAACGATCTAATTCCCCTATGATTTAAAAGCCCAAATCATAACGAGTACCATTAGAGTTATCATATATATATTTTTTAAATCCACCCGCAAAATACTTTGGAATATCATCTGCATTTGAGGTTCAATTCTGAAAAGACTCATGAGGGATCCGAGCTAGACTCGGCGGAGTAATAAAGGCGATGCGCTTTGCCTAACATCAAACCTATTTCCCGACCGTTAAAGGAACAGAATTCTTTAAGTAATATTAGGGTACAATTATAGAGAAATAATATTGATTTATCATGAATAAGAACTTAACAGAAGGCAGGGATGCGGAAGCAAATTAATCTACGTACTGAGACGAATCCATTTAATGGAATGCAAATTTTTTATTCTCCATTTCTCTTTCTCAAGAAATTACATCGTTCTGAAATCTGTATGCGCTTCACAATAACACATTTAATAGCCTACATCAAATAGCAGTATTATACTTTTCAAGGGTTTTGGACCAATGTGATTTTATGCCTCTTTGAAACCTTGAACTTTGTTTTCCATAAATGTAGGTTTTTATGTGCTTAATTTTTTTAATTTATACTTAGGCTTATAGATTATTTAGTAGTTTGATCAGCTATCGCACTTTATATCTATGTTTTTAGCTTGTACTTTTGATGTAATTTAAAAAAAAATACCATCAATATTGTGATTTTAATAACATACTTTTGAAAGTTGTGTACCGTATTTATTCTATCAAGTCAGTACCACTTTTGTGCCAAATTCTATTCACATAACTCGCAAATTCTTTTAAAATATACAAATAATTTGTAATTTTTAAATGTTGTCATTCCTTTTTGGAATTTTACCCACCCTTTTAATACCAAAATGTAAAATAAAATCACTCTAAATTTCAGATAACAGAAATTATTTTAATGAATTGTTAATGTTACATTTTTAATGTTATTAGTTTTCATTATACTCGATCTAGCTACGTATGAAGTATGTTCTTTACAATTTGTTAAGTTTGTGTCTCGTGTTATTTATTTGTAGGACATGTTTCTGAATTTAAAAGCTGAACATCTAAAATATATTTGTATGATTATATATGAAAATGAATTTCTTGTATCTTGTTAATTTCAGTCTTAAATTGCCATAGACGTTTGTTTTGTGAAATTACCGTATGTATTTTATTTGAATTGAATAAAATATACCATAATTGTTATTAGCAGGGCCTAGATAAATACCGTATGCTACCTTTACAATTTACAAATTATATATATTTTATTTTTTTATTTTTTAAAATTTAAAACATATTTATACAGTATCAAAACATATCAGGTGGTTGTTAAAGCATGTTTTTCATATGGTTCTCTTCAAACTTATACTAGGGTTGTATAACAAATATAATACGTCCACACTTCAATAAATATTTAATTATAATAAAGCAGAAAAATGGATGGTAAAAGTGTGCTACCAATATTTTACATGCGCGCTAGGTATACCGTTCAACATTTTAACATTACTGAAAAATGATATTGAGTATGTTGTTATATTAAAATTAATCCTTTAATGATATATGTTATTTAGGCAAAATTATATAGGCCAAAAATAAATTGCTATACATATAAATCGGCATATATAGATATACGGTACATGTTGGGCCTACGTATGTATATAACTTCTAATATAAAAATATGCCTAGGCATATATATATCTGTCTCTTATACACATCTAGATGTGTATAAGAACCCTTTCGGGAGATTGTATTCCTTTGGGACAACACTCCGACGGGCTCTTCACTTGAACAAAAGGCGCCCCCGAGAGAGTCGTGGTTGCTTATTTTCTGCTACTAAGGGAGATACGACGCGCGTCTTACAACCTGAACACTACGAACTTTATTCTGAATTCTGTGGACTTAGCTCTAACATTGTAACGGTGGTCGGAGCCCGGACGCCTTGTAGTAACAACCACTGAGCGTGACGACAAAAAACTCGACAAGTGCTTCCTCATTTTCTCTAGCTTTCTTCCATTCTGTCGTCTGCCTCACACCATGCTATAATTCGTTCTTACAACCAACGCGACATCCCTTTACTTCTTCCAGTTTGTCACTTGTTATTGTTGAGAAAGTACCTGGTTTGCGGCACTAAGTCAGCAAGGTGCAAACGACTTCATCTGTGTTGGACAGGATATACGATTTCTAGTTCTACTCTTGAAGCGTTGTTTCATCATCAATCGCGATTCATCAGGGAAACAACGACCTGTCTCATATTTGATTACAAAACAAGTGTACCCTTGCGGTGTAAAGCGACAACCAAGGAAAACGAAATAGAGAAAGCTTCGCAGTCCTTGTATCTGTCTCTTATACACATCTAGATGTGTATAAGAGACAGTATATATATTATATACATGAAAAGTGGAATCTACTAGTATGAAGAAATAATAAATATTCCTGGAAACATTATTTCTCCGGAGTTTATTTTGTAATTTTACATATAAAATATTATATCATTCGTGACCTACGACTGAACAACCAGAGCCATTTAAATCCAGAAACTTACACAAATATAAAAAGGGTAAAAAAAAACAAAGACAAGAGAAGAAGCGGTTACCGTATGAGTGTTGAAGAATGAATACGGTATTTATTTCATGAAACATGCAAATTAGGCTTAGACTTAACGGTATTGAATAAGCCTATTAGAACTATCATGTATAAACCAATTTGAGTAAATGTTTAGTGTCTCTATGCGCGTGAACATTGTTGATATTCGGCTGTGGATCACATGACAAGGCCTAGGCTTACATATAGTTACGGCCCACTTCAAACAAGAGTCATAAGCCTAATCTATACATTGCAAATGTGATTGACAACAAATATATATTGTGAACACACTACAGTTTTCCAAAATAACAAAATAAATGGTTATATCGGAGGAAATTATAATATTTCGTTGAATTACTTCTACTAATTTTTAAGTTAGTGATGATCTAACAATATAATTACGACGCAACACATAAAAGTTGACTATAGGTGCAATATATCCTGTATTGCATTAATATTATAGATTTGCTTAAATGAATATATTAATTACAACACCTTTCAACAAGGGTGAAAACCATTTTTAAAAAGTAATTTTCCCCCTTTTTTTACTCTTATTTACTTTTTTTCCCCTTTTCATTCCTCACGAATATGTAAATCGCTTGCTATGATACTAAGATTGTCCCGCATTGCAAAGGGCTCGACTCAATGGTTCGAACACCGAAAGCTTCAAGATTTGTCTATTTTGACGGTAGGCCTACACCAAACATTAGTACTTAATAAAAGTTCATGTCTGACGATTTACTGCCATTATCGAACTGAGATTAAAACAAAAGCGACACTTCAGTCGTAAGTCAATTTCTGTTTGTTTTGTCCTTCTGTTGATTGTTGAGTTTATTGAGGGGACGGATTAATCATGCAAAAAAGTCCCCGGATCATACGTTAGACAAGCGTGCATTGGATACTTACCTCAATACGTAACTTCTTAACGACACTTTACAAGTAATCAATCAAATTGGAAAGTGACACCACTACAGACAACCCCTCAAACAACACGATTGGAAGGGCACGAGAGAGAACTGAACAAGCGCACTGATTGGATAACAGAAACACTGGCTTCCGCATATGGTGAAATAGGCGGAGCCAATGACCATAATTAGTTTCGTTGCTGTCAAGGGCATGTCCGTAGGAGCTTGTGAGGCGAGACCCTTTCGGGAGATTGTATTCCTTTGGGACAACACTCCGACGGGCTCTTCACTTGAACAAAAGGCGCCCCCGAGAGAGTCGTGGTTGCTTATTTTCTGCTACTAAGGGAGATACGACGCGCGTCTTACAACCTGAACACTACGAACTTTATTCTGAATTCTGTGGACTTAGCTCTAACATTGTAACGGTGGTCGGAGCCCGGACGCCTTGTAGTAACAACCACTGAGCGTGACGACAAAAAACTCGACAAGTGCTTCCTCATTTTCTCTAGCTTTCTTCCATTCTGTCGTCTGCCTCACACCATGCTATAATTCGTTCTTACAACCAACGCGACATCCCTTTACTTCTTCCAGTTTGTCACTTGTTATTGTTGAGAAAGTACCTGGTTTGCGGCACTAAGTCAGCAAGGTGCAAACGACTTCATCTGTGTTGGACAGGATATACGATTTCTAGTTCTACTCTTGAAGCGTTGTTTCATCATCAATCGCGATTCATCAGGGAAACAACGACCTGTCTCATATTTGATTACAAAACAAGTGTACCCTTGCGGTGTAAAGCGACAACCAAGGAAAACGAAATAGAGAAAGCTTCGCAGTCCTTGTATTTATCTCATTAATATTGTTATACCAATCCACTTGGGCTTTATGTTCGGAATTCAAGAGTGTCTCACACGAGGTGCAACTACCCTGAAAGAAGAACCCACCGGGACACCTCACATAGACCCAGTACGTAGCTGGATGCAGCCCAATACGATGGTGGAGCAAGGTGCAAGGTAACATAGACGTCTCTTAATCACTGTTATCCATACCGAACAACGTGTGTCAAGTGTGCTTTTCTCGGTAGCCTATATGGCTCATGGGATCCACCATCAGTCGTAGTAAAATCAATTTCCATGTCATCTGCCGCCTCCCAATTCCCCTACTATTGCTCGACTTGATATTAACTAGGACTTCACGATTAGCCACGTTTCCGTCAAACTTCGTTAGTTCACATGCTAATCAGTCGCTATAGAAAACGCTTAATTGCAAACGTAGTATATTTCTTGTAGAAAATTAGTTTTAAAATATATCATTGAAAATCCTATTATTCCGGAGGCATTCGAAGGCAAGGTAATGTGTACCGTCCGTTGTTTACATCAGCGAATTAGTTCTGTCCCACCTATAGTCTTCTTCTCGTGAGCAAAACATGACACAAGGTAAGGTTATGCGAAAAATCATGCGCCTAGAATACATAGTATACGGTACCGAGGCCTACGCTACGTTATCCTTCAATCCTATACCATTTGAAAATCATAAAGTTATTGTTACAGACAAGTCATCGAAACATATGAGCTAGTGCCCAGATTAAGCTATTATAGGCCTACAATTATTATTGTAATAACATTAATAACCAAATTGGTTGATTTAATATTTAGTCGGTCGTATGATTACTAATATCTGATTCGCAGTAGCAAAGCTTACCCAACAAATATCTTAATTAATTGCGATATTATATACTAATATACTATGTTCATCAACGTATAGTCGCGTTTACTATCCAATTAATGATTAGTTACCATCACATATATAGGCCTAACCATCGTCATACCACCACGCTGCCACCAACATGACAATCGTCCTCAACATCTCCACCACCATCAGCAGCAACAAACAAGTATCAACATCATCACTATAAAAATCGTCTTCAACAAATATAATCATCATCACTCCACCATCATCATCATTGCCGTTATCGTCATAATCAACATTGCCGCCGTCGTCGTCGTCATAATTATCATCATCATCAACATCATCACCAGCAACATACTCATCCTCAACATCATTATCATCTTCATTATCGTCTCCGTTATCATCATCATAGTGTCATGTTAGGTCTAAGCACTGTTTGATGCTGTCTCCTCTTCTGGTTAGAATAGACCAATGACATCCTACACCAATTTTATAAATGCAGATCAACATCTTTCTTTTTTTGTAGTCTGCTGTTCATTCCAATCAAATTGATTCGTTATCATAGCTATCACTATCATGAAAATAGTTATCATCACCTTCTTTTTCTTACTCGTGTCGTAAAGTTATTCTCTGTCCGCATTTATAGATATTCCGGGTCCAGGTTGATTGAATCGAGCACAGTAACCTTGGTTACAGACCACTGTGTGATAAACAACGTGGTAGACCTTCTCTAATGACTATAATTAAAATAATTGTTAATAATATACAGACGTTTGCTCTGCTTAACGCAATTTTCTTGCATTAACATACGACAAATTCCCATAAGAATTAGGGCCTAGGCCTATCAAGCGAAATTTAAAGCAAAATTTTCATTGAAAAACCCCGAAAACCGTTATTTAGGAGTTTAGGCCTATGTGTCTTTTAATAGTAAGTAAAGTAAAAAGATTTTGACATACTTGTGTTAAACGTATCTGTAACTTATTAAATTTCTGAAGAATATATACTCGTCATTTTGTGTCCGGTAATTGTTTGAGATTTGGAAGAACGCAATTTGGGGGCTTTCACGAATCTATAGAATATTCATTTTCACGAAGTTTAATTATTATATTAGTGATAAAGATTTATTGAGGCTAAATGTCTGTATACATTGGCACACTGTGTTTAATAGTTGTGTCTAATATTAGTCGTGTGTTACGATTACATTTTACATTCAACTAAAAATAGGCCTATTATTAATGCATTTGAGGAATAATGTGTATTACATATAAATATAAACAGATAGATAAATAATAGCAATGCTCGAATAGGAACATTCCTATTCGAGCACTGTTAACTTTATTTATCTACCTGTTAATATTGTGTTTACGGTGCTACGCAGCAAACCTAATTTGAATTTTATTTACTAATA